TAAGGACTTCAATTGTGTTTTAACCAATGAAAATTATTTCCTGTACATAGCATCTTTTCATTACGTTCTGGTGGTACCTGAAGACAAGCTTTGTTCATCCTTTCCTTATAAACTCACATGTTCTGATGGCTAGCAAGGGACTTCGTTGTATAGTCTAGTGAAACTGGTCATCCTCAATGCTTTTCTAACTCCCAAAGGCTATTCTACTGCTCAGGTTTTGCTAAAATGGAAAAATTCAGTTGTTACCTCTCTCTACACACCTACTACATGGATGGTTTTGAACGCAAAGTAGAAACTAAGCATTTGGAAGTGTTTACTCAGTTATATTCTCTTTACCTAACATCACCCATTTTCTTTTCCCCAAGTACCCTGTTAGTCTAGCTATGCTGTTGTGCCACATTGATCATTCAAAGTGTTTTTCAGGAATGTGACCTGGTTTTTTTTCCTCTTTTCTCTTCCTTTCTTCTTCTTTTTTTGAGAGAATAACCCCTTTCAGTCACTACCACTTTATTTTATATTTCATTTTGATCCTTTTATAACTGCACGCATACAGCATCAGGAGGTTTTTCTAATATGTAGGCAGATCTGCAGTAAAAATATATTCTGTTAAATACGAACTTGTCTCTGGAAAATAACTTCCACATCCCTTCCCCAAATAACTCATCTGCGCAAGGTTTACAAGACAGACAGTAAAATTTTGCTTTATCAAGCCTGGACACTCAATGATTTCTTACCTATGCAGTTCTACTGAAAGTCACATAGCCAAATCTATTTGATTTGGTATATGTCTCATTTAAGGAGAGTGCTGTACTCTGACCCCATGATAGCAGTCACATTACTAAGATCTCACTCATACTCATACATTTTTGGGAGGTTTCTTCATTCATAGTTAAGAGTTACTCAGACAAAGCCACCTTGAGGAGCATATTACAGAATTTCAATAGAGAAACGCTTCTGAGTATTTATCTTACAATCATAAAAAAAGATAGGAAGATAACGGCCATTATTCTATGTTGGATGCTTTAGTTATTTCCAAGCTAATGAGAAACAAAGAATGGCATCTATCAGAGATAAGATTTAAATTTGCACAAATATTTACAGCTAGACTATTCAGATTAGCTTTGCTCCCTGGGAGAAGTCTGAACTGCAAATTCACCAGGCCCAAGACTATATTGTGCCCTGCCAAATACAACAGGGATCACTTCCTGTATTTCTAGATCTTAAATGACCTTCCACTGCCCGTTTGTGAAGATGAATCGCTGTAGCTGCAACGCTCCACATTCATATTATCATAATATATTAAAACTAAAATTCTTCTTTGCCAGATAATAGTATGTAAGTCAAGATAACCTTTATTTCCTTAAAGATCACTTGACCTCTCTAAAATCATCAACCTCACCTTATCCTCCACACCTACAAGCATGCCTATTCCATTCATACTTTTGTTTAGAGTTCAGCTGACCTGAGTGCCAAGGGAACGGAGTGCCACGGAAACCAAGATCTGTCATTGGTCTAGTCATGAAGCGTTTTCTAAGCCAAGCTTAGTCTCATTTCAGGATTTCATCTTTTGAAACAGTGCCTCAGTATTACACTGCAAGGTTTCAATTAAGCTCTGCGTGTAGCTTCTAGGATAGAATTAGTGTCTATTACATTACACAGAGAATGAGAATGCCTTCGAGAAGCATTATCTACTGATAATATGCAGGGTTACACTTGGAAGGAGCTGTTTCCCTCTGTGGAAACTCAAAGAGAATGAAGTAGGCTGGGCTTGCATTTTTTATCCATCTTTGGTAACCTTCTATTAAAGTTTAACTTGCAAAAAGTGAATAGTTATGATTATTCATAGAGCTAACCATAGTTTCTATTATTTGAGAGAGTGCCTGACAGTAACTACACTCAATGTTAATGAAACAATACTCTTGTTCTTGTTCTAGTGTATTACTTTCTATAGTATGTTCTGGTATATACGCAGATCCCAAATAAATTTGTTTCAGGATTGGTACTCGCATTGGTATCAAAGATGGAGTGAAATACAGAAAGTTAAATTTATAACTTTATTCTTTCCCGCTTAAGAAGAGAGATTAGGAAAGTGCTTAAATATATTTATATCCCATTGTAATTGGATAAATTTTAGGTTAAAGCAGGAACAAAATGAAAAATGTGGTTAATATTTCCCTATCCCAAGAACGCTTCATAGACATCAGATCTCTTAATGATGCTTCCATTTTAAAGGCATTTTTATTTACACACAACAGCAAAAAAGGACTATATTTCAGGATATAACTTAACTTTGTCAGAGTATTCACTCTTCAGTATTTGCACTGTTAGGTGTTTGATTGCAATTAAATCATTAGTACTACAAGAAGAAAAGTTTTTCTTTCTGAACTGATGGTCTGTATATATTGAATTCTGTAATTCATAAATAAAAATTCATAGCACAAACACAGCAAAATAAATTTTAAACAACAAATCTTTCAATACAACTGACTATATGGGCAGCAGATTGAACAGAAGAAAAAGGACTTCTTATACTCTTTTGGTGCCTTTTCTAAGTTCACATCAAGTTCTTACTAACGTTTTCATAGCTTATGTACCTTATACCATTGCTTGCTGATGTTTTGAATTATTTTAGAGCAGTTTTAAAAATCCTCTTTGAGAAACCTTGAAAATTGGAAAAAAGTATTGAGGCTAAACGTAAGGTTGCCAAGGCTGTAACTTTCCCCCGGAGGGGCCATGATCCCCCCATTCCCTGTGGCATCCTGCTGGAACCCTATGGAGTTGCAGAGCCACCGCTAAGGAACCTGGTGCAGCACCTTCAGGCAGGGTGTTGGCTTCTTTTTGATTTTTTCAGCTATGAAGATTTTCATACTGCTGTCACTATGTGAGAAAACCAAAATTTTACTCTTAGGCTTTTGATATTTCCCATGGCTCAGAGACTTTTCATTTTGCCTTTGAAACTGGAAATACTCTGCACATTAAGAAACAGGGTCCATCTTCTCAGTATAACTGAAAGCTATTTATTTTTATCAATGGCTATGGCTGAGCAAGTTGAATTTCCTTTTAGGAAATGATATGTGGAAACCAAACAGAATTTGTTTACAGTGTTTCATTCAGGCCTCTGCCAGCCCAAAGCAGCACTGGAAACTACAAAAGGCTTACTCACTCTAAGAATAGGTAAAACAAATACATCTAAGGCAGTTTTAGAAGGCAAAAGGTGAGATTTCACTTGCTTAAAGTCATCATTCATCAAAATCATTAATCTGAATCTTCCCATGATACAAGAAAAAAACACAAACAAATCCCTTAAATAAAACAAAAAACCCCAGGTCCCTTGAGAAAGCAACGTCTGTCAAAGACACTTGCTAGTACTATTCCTGCTTTAGGAAATGGGAACAACAGAGTTTGAAACAAATAGTTGCAGGTAATAATTCCACTGAAGAGAGAAGAAGTTATTTTCTAAGAGCTGGATCTCAAGGAGATTTGATTTTTTTTTCCCCTCACTCTTTCCTGCAGAACTCTATGCCATGATTCCACAAACAGTACGCAGCTCATGCCGAAAGTTTGCTTTACTCTTAATCAGTTTGATAGGCTAGAGTATACTGCTTTGGCATTTAGGGAAATGTCAAAGTATGTCACCTAGCGTATGCATAGGTTCTTTAATGGCACTTCTTTGGGACATGAGAAGTAATTTTAAGGTTATGTTATGGGAGTTCAGGGGAGCAGACACCTGACTGCTGATCTTGCAGAGACCTGCTAACATAAAAGGTAAATTTAAAAGTATACTTACTGGAGTCATCCTGCTCTACAAATTTAAGAGTATGCTTTACAAGAAGTAAAATCAGAAAGTTTCTGTTAGAGAAAATACAGCATACCTATTTTTCTTGCAAAAGAATAGATAGCATGGCATCCCAAGCGTTTACTCTTTTTGAAAGAAATAATTTAAACACTAAAGCAGCACTCAATCCCAGAAGTTTGTTACTGAATTAAAATTATCAAAGTTTTGTTTACATATTCATCAGCTTTTGCCAACCGAAGGCTGCAGTTTTCCACTGTAGGTTGTCCTTCCACAGGATAAAACACCATTCACATTCAGATACTACCTATTTCTTGTTTGTACTTGGCTCTGGTGACGATAAGTAGGTGCCAACATGGTCAAAATCAAGTTAACCTCTGCAAGTTGTGCAAGTCATACATAATGCAGCCAACGAAAAGTCAAAATAAGCATTTTTAAAACTTATTTCCTAAATTAATGACCATCCAATAACTTCAAAAGCTTTAAAGGGTATAAGAAAGATTGCATAGATTAACTGCATGCATGTTCTTGATCACATTAGAGAATCCAAGACAACTACATTCCAAATTTCATCGAGACCATGTGAATCGCCAGAGAAATTAAAATTTCATGATGCTTATTTAGCTGACATTTCCTGGGGCCTATTCTAGCTATATGTACCACCTGGCACCAAACAGAAACTCTGAATGACCCAACAAGTCATGAAAAAAAATCTTACAACATATGCAGCTCCTCCTTTACAAGGCCTGATATGATTAAAAAAAGATCAGAGGAGGGCAGAAGAGGAAGCATAGTGCTAAGCACTAGGGAGCACAGCCTATACGCTCACCTTAGAAAGTCTAATGTCAGAGCAGCTGCTGGGGCTGCTCTAACTTACACAAGAGCTGTTTCATCTCCTAGAGAAAGCTCACTTTCCAGGTAATGCAAAGGTAGCAATCTCTCAACCTCTTCTTTCAACAGCACTCTATATGCTGCCATTCTCAAAAGACACTGAAAAGAATATAGGCTTTATTTTGCCTTTAAAAGAAAAAAAATCATTATGTGTTCTACCCTTTACCTGAAGTAAAAATGACCTTATGTATTGCATACATGTGATAACAAAGCATTCTATGTTTCGTCTTATCAGGTCTTACAGTTTACTCACAAGATGTTACATGAGAAAATAAACACAACTTTGAGGAAATAGTTCATATAAACGCAGGCTTACCAGCTGGTGCAGAATGTGAGCAGTGAAGTTGAAAACTGTGAGAATCGGCATATAGTTCACTGAATTTGCCTTCCTTAAAATCTGACTTGGAATCCTTTTTGCTCTCAATCTCGTCTGAAGACAGTTTATCCAGTTCAATTATCACAGCTGACATTGCAAGACAGTCTCAGTTTAACTCTCAAAATAATTATCCTGGCCTGAAAGGAAACAAAGCTAAACAAAAGGAGAAACCACCTTAAGTCCAGCTTTCACAAACTTACAGTCTGGGGAAAAAATAACTTCCTTTAATAAAAAATATTTCCCTAAACTATAACAGTGCAAAATATTGACTTTAATGACTGAGAAACAGTATTTCCAGACAGCTGTTCTTCCAGCTCTGAAGCATTTGATAAGTATTATAGTTCTCCACCTTAGAAGAGAGCTCTTTCTTTAAGAAGTTCTTCTGTTCTTGTAATGACAGCAATATTATGGCATTTCTGTGTAGCTGCTACAAAAATAGAAAGGATAAGTGGAGACATCTGTCTGTCTGCTCAGTTCTGGACTTAATAACTTTGTTTTAAGAGTCTAATTCACATTTAGTTACCACTGGTCCAGCTGGGAGGGGCTAGGCAATACCAATGAAAACAAGTGCATCCCACACGCCAGCCCATCAGCAAGGGTCTGGCAGCTGCAAAGGGGAAGTTGCTCATGGCACACTCCTGCTTCCTCCGTGAACATTCAGCACTTTCTCTGGAATGCATGTGACAAAAGAAATGCCCACTGGCTAGATTATTCCTTGAAAACACAAAAGAAACCGTTCCGGGTTCCTCCGTTTCTTTTTTCAGAGCCTTGATTCTAAACTTTTTTCCTAGGGAAAACCAGTCATACTAACAGTTTTGATCCTTTAAGGTAAATAATTTTTGTAATTTTTTTTTCTTACATGCAAGTAAACCTCTACAGAATTCAGGACGCTAAAATGATCTATTTTGCTCCTCTCCCTTCTTTACTCAGCTTCTGTCCCACCGGCTAGAGTCTACAATAAAGAGTGTCAACAGAGGCACCCACTGGTGGTGGTAGGAAACTACATGACTACTGCAACATCAGAAGCCTACGCACCACAGATGGATAGGCTTATTAGTAGAAAGCAAATCTTTAATTTCCCTGTAGAATAGCAGAACTGATAAAGCATGAACTTTCGTTTACGAAAATGCATTATACCAGAGTCTACGACATGGGAAAGGGGATGCAATGATTTGCCAACTATTAACTGCCTATCGCTTTCTTACTTGCATCTATTTGCTCAGCGTGAGAGAGAAGTAACTACTGTAGAAAAATCTATGCAGCTATACAGCAGCTTTTAATAAACAGTCCCTTGCACTACAACAAGAGACATACAGCCATTACAAATCCTAGGATACGTTTTCTCTAAACTCAGCTTGATAGAGGTGAACAGAGGTGGCAATTGTCAGGGCCACCCACGCTAACGTAAGTCAGTTTTAAACTGAGCCCTGATGCTATCCTCTGTAATCTCTACGCAAGCAGGCAGCAGGTAGAGTGCTCCAATATGCCTGCATAGGGAACTTATGGCTAACCAGGAGCCAGCTGTAAAATAAATGTACTGCTGGGACATTTCCCTATGTCAAGGGACCTTGCAAGAGGTGATTTCCAGGTGAGTTACAATCAAAGTAAGGAACCTAAATGCAGTAATGAGGCTAATACTAATGAATAGTCTTACATGGAACTGTTGCAGAAAATCAAAGGGGAAGCTTCCAAGGAGGCCAGAAATCATATGAGGCAGTTGTCTCCGTTTCATTTCACTTCAGTTAATGCGCTCCAGGGGTAGGAAAGAGAGACAGCTTGATAAAAGAGTCACAACACACACCAAAACTGTAGAAAAAGGTTATATAACTGGGGGGAAACAAACAAGAAAGCAAATGTTAGACAGTTTGGAAGGAAAATTCAGCAAGACTCACGCCAAGAAAGGCAAAGGAAAAGAGTTAGCCAAATCCAGACTTGAATTATATCCTCTTTTAATAAAACTCTCTTTCAATTCCTGTCTTAAATATGTAAAATCTAGTTATGCCATTACTGTTGGCTAAATATGTGTTTTTTTCTTTTAAAAGAAGCTTCCCCTAAATGAAAATTCTGGCTGCTAAATTTGTCTGAAATTTTACAGGAGGTAACAGTCCTATTAGTATACTGCATACAAAATCCGTAACTTAGATTGCCCTTTCCTATTCATAAATAAACAAGAGATCATATTTTATACGGAGTTGTTGCCCAATATATCAACACTTCTAAAGAAAGCCAAAGCCTAATCCTCTAGTGACAGCGCATCATGAATGCACAGAGGGAGAACTACTTTTCCAGCGTTCCATGTCCTCAAAGCCTTATACTATGTCTAAGTCAGGTACTTAGAAATTTTCTTGGATATCTGAGCAGTTTCACCTCCTATACAAATCCTTATCTGAAGGCTTTAGGTTTTTCCAAAGACATTAATCTCAGTGAGATATAATTTTAAAAAGAAAATCATATTACTATTGGTGCTGTTAAGTTTTCCACAAAACTACCATGTAACACTGAATATGCAGACTAATTTGTACAAGGTTTTTTTGTTTGTTTGTTCATTTTTCCCTCCCCTTCCCACTTTTATGCATTTAGGTATAGGTTAAAAAAGTAGGTTACTGTTCTTTTGCTAAGTAGAGAATCCCTAAATTGCTCTATTCTCTCTATACATTATAGAGTTTCCGTTAAAATCCCGAAATATCAGTTAATTCTGCTGAAGTATACAGAACAACCTTTAAAGTGGGAAATAGAACAACCTACTGTGAAAAGCTATTTTAAATTTCCAAGTCTGAAAAGTAATTTCCTAGCGATGAGATGTGATAATCCATATTTTTGTTAGTGGTCAGTGGAAGATCAGAAAAGTAACAAACTCCTACAGGGTTCACCCAGCTGTTCCCCGAAGTACACAGCGGTGCAGTGTTTAGTATTGCACCTCCTTTGACCATGCAGAGCTAAACCTACTAGAGAACAGCCGAGGCCCTGCTTCATCTGGCAGCTCTTCCTTTTCTTTCTCAACCTTTTTATTCCTCTCAGCATCATCAATAGCATATGTCAAGAATAGGAGCCAGAGCTATTTTGTTGTTTTAACACCATTTCTTTCTCAAACGATTTTGAGTTTTTCTATTTCTTCCTCCCTGACCTATCAAACTGTCACTTGGCAAGATATTAGAACAAAATCTTTGTTATGAAAATGACTTGTGCTCATATGATACCTACAAAGTGCCTAAAACACATATGGGCACCTGAGCCATTAAAAGCACCAGAATACATTATTCCTCTAAATTCTATCTAAACAATTTGACTACTATCATAAAGCATCTCTGTAGGCATTACTAATTATTTTTATAAATCTGGTCATTACACATTTAAGGATGTAGTTTTTAAATGATTTTCAGTAGTCTCAGGCTTCTAAAAATCTACCACATTTGAAATTAAGACAATTACACTATGTCCTCAAAGTGTCATGTTATGCACTGTACCTGAAAGTAGCATGGACATCATCGGTAATATTTCAGATATATTATAAAGTTCAAGATCATACACTGCTGAGCTGCTATTAAAGCAAATTAAAGTAAATTTAATTCATACAAAGCTATATTACAAATATTTTTCCTCATAAGACAAGACTAACAAAAAAAAATAGATGTTTCATGGCAAACTGAATTTTTGATTGATCTGAAGACAGGAAAAAATAGATTCCTTCATTTCCAGATATTTCATATACTAACAAAATGAAAGGTTACACTGAGAGTAAGAAGTGGTGGTATTGTTTCCCCTTCATCTAACAGCTCAGTGTTTAGATATTCACATAATGGAAGACCCAAGTTTAATTGCTGTGACTGCTTGGACCACTTGTGCCCATTCCCAAAAGATTGCCCTATGATATTACCATGTATTTGGGGAAAGAATTTGGTAATCTTAACCTCTCTTGTCATACTCATTTGAACTAAAGATAAATAAGCAAGTGTTCAAAATCAGAGGAACAAGAGAGAGTACCTTCCTCAAACAGTGCTGAAAGTGCCACAATTAAATTTATTCTCTTCTTCTGTAATTCAACTGACATTCGCATGTACTATAAGATGGAATTCCTCCAGCAGTTAAGTGTGTGAGGAGCAGCCTACAGATTTTGTGTGGAGCATCTGCTCAGAGATGCCGTATCTTCATTCAAATACATAGTCAGCACAGCCAGGCTGGAAGTAAATACATATTTTGGGTCTCTCACCTCTTTTATAATTTTTTTCAGCTTAACTGACACGACTTTTTTCAGCACATCAACTCTACTAGAGCAGCAATTTGCAAGGGCTTAGCAGTGAGAGCACAAGCTTGGCTGAGGTCAGACAAAAGAACAGAAGAGACCCTACTGCACTCCAAGGTAAGAATGGGATCTGGCTGAATATTTCCCAGAAGGAAGAAACTAAGCCTTAATACATTTTCTGTTAAGATAAGTATTAATAAATTCAATGACTGGCCACCCCACTATTCCTAGATCCGTTGTAGACACAACCTGGAACTGTGAAAAGCAGAGGAAAAATAAAAACTTCTGAATTTCAAAAAAAAAAAAAAAAGTGAAGTATAAAACAGGTCAAAACCTTGTTTCTATTTTAGACATCTATCATCCTCATCAACAGTCTCAGTCACACAGACCCTAATGACCCACTACATCAAGGGCCAGATTGAATTTCTGGATCTTTCACTCAGTACACAGGAGAAAAATCAGCTGACCCCAAAATGTCTTTGACTAAGCAGTCTCCTTTCTGAAGCTCTCGCTAACAGCCACAAGACAAGCAGAGAGCTGAATGAAAATAGGTAAGGGAAACATAGAAATAGTTGGCCTACATGCTTACTTACTGAAGAAACTTTGTAGTTCAGTGTGAACCTAATCAGATATCATGAAATCTCTTAGCTTAGGAGGAACTATAGGTTCCTCCGCACAATAAAACAGACAAGAATTCACCCATAGGAAAACATATGCAAGTTCCTCCCCTCACCCTTTCTTCCCCATAGCAAGTAACACAAAGACAGCTATTACTGCTTATCTAAAACAGGAGTTTCCTGAAAACCCAACCTACCCAGTAGGGCCCTAATAGTAATTAGGGCGTTTATCCTGTTTCACTGAGTAAAGGAGTGACAGTTCCAGAAAAAACAGGTCAAACTGAACTTCTTTCATTCATACAGAGAAAATTATCCATCACATCAGTTTACTTTATTCTCAGAGTCTAACTGGCATATTTCATTTGAGACAAACCATCTAAATAGCATGGCCATCACATGGAAATGTGGGATTTCCTTGCTGCCCAGCAAAACAGGGGGATCTCTTGAACAAATCCTACGCTGCATCTGAAAAATCTCTGACTTCAAAAATATTGGTGGTGTTCTGCAAATAAGCAGAACAGAGTTAAAAAAACAGTACTGTACACAGCTTTAACAGAGACAACAGGAATTTGATTTAAAACAAGAAATGTCTAATTCA